AAGATCTGGGATTCATTCTTTCTTGCAGCGAGGACCTTGACCTTTAGATTTATGTAAATTTTCCTTTTCCCGTGAAGATTAAAGACCTTATTGGATAACCAGAGTTAATCCCTGGTTTTCTTTGTCACGGATCCCCGGAAGCAACGGTTTCGGCACGAGGGCGCGACGTCGATTCGCGAAATTAAAAAAAAGAAGAGAAGATTTTATATATATATTCTCCACAAATATTCTCCCATTAACACTAATAATGGAAGAATAATTTTTATTTCAATAAAACTGAAAAACGAGATTGCATGATTTGAGAAACGATCGTTGTTAACTCCCTGCCGAAATGACCGCTATCGGAGGTAATCCGGAAGATCTGGGATTCATTCTTTTCTGCAGCAGGGCCTTTAATTTTCTTTTACACTCTTTTAATCTGATGAAACTCTATTGCTCATATTACGATATGTTGAATTCACTTTCCATCTTGAGTTGTTGCAAAAATTACACAAAATATGGCTTAGCAAATATAGTCTTGCTGTATTTGTCGAGCAAATCTTTTGTTACCTATCCATTTATTTTTCATATTTTCTATATTTGATATATATATGTATTGTCAAGATGAGTATCGCATGAACGACATGCACAATTACACGCATCTTCGCGGTCGGTTTACGCGGTCGGTTTTCGCGATCGGTTTTTCAGGAAAACTTCAATAAATTATTAATTATTTAATTTTATCTATATTATCAATTTTATCTTATCGAGGAATTTGATTAAAATCACTCTAACGCGAAGTAAATTTTTTCTATACCTACTTGAATTTCGAAATCAAAGATTAAATTACGAAGAAATGATAAATATTTTTGAATAAATAACGGCAGTAACAATAAATTTGATTCGTATATACAGTAAAGTTTTTGAATTAACATTCTTCTTTAATTCACGTCTCGTGGTCGTGCATTTTTCGATACGATCGACACTCGTATATTCGAACCGTACGAAACATTTGTTGGTGACGATAACCGACTATGGAAGGAGTTTTCTTCCTTCCTGATCTCTGGTCAAAATGACCAGATTGTATGGCCGGGAGCAACGAAAGGTATGTCCAATCTGGCCCAACGAAGGACTAAATACGATGAGGTAAGTGGTCAATATTGGCCACTCTGATGGAGTACCTAAGTAAGGTGCTGTACGAAGTATACTTCTATTTCTTTTGATTTGTTACAATTCGGGTGGGTTATGCCTCTATATATAGACATTCTCGTATATGTGCGAGAGTGAAACCCTTATTAAATCCTGCGTGCGCGTTAAACTCCGAGTTAAACCCCTAGGACATCACGTCGCGATTAATTAAAGATTGTAGGTTCATTATGTTGAAACACGGGTAGGTAGAAAATGAATAAGTTGGTCTATAGATCGGAATACGGGTAGGTAGGGATTCGGATAGTCAGGGATAGGGGGACATAATTCGAGAGTTTAAAAGATTAGATAACATAAATTAACGAAGGAACAATAATTTTAATAGAATATGTACATAAAAAGAATTTCGTGTTATTGTACGTATACCGACTATTTTATATAGAACGTCGAGAGAAATATTGTAGGTATTGTACAGATATTATATTTTTAATTTTATAATGTCATTATTTCTTTTATAATATTGTATGTATTATAAAAGTCAATATAAGGAAAATTAAATATATAGTAAAAATGTAAAAAATGAAATTGTAAAGAAAAGAGGACCGTCGATTAAACGCGGCGGGGGTGGTGGAGGGCCTCTAGATAGGTCGATTTATTTCTATCGAATAAAATTTTAGTTCAATTTGATTCACATATAGTTCTTTAATTGGTAGAGTTTCGTTTGCAATTGATTGATAAATTTACCTTTACAGTTTGATTTTTCGTTTGCACATTAATAAAAAATGTTGTACAATTATGAGCACAGCCACATATGTAACACGTTGTGCGTACTGTGTAACATTTTCTATTAATGTTTTACATTGTAAGAGTTAGGTATGTATTATTGTAAACATACGCGCGCGTGTCACATGTTTATATGTAACTTTATGTCATAATGAAAATATGTATATATTTTTATTGTGTATCATGTTTTTAGTTTCGCTATGTAACTTTCTCTCATTTTATATTTTTGTATATATTTTAAAATATGTTGAAAAAATTAATTAAGTTATAAAAATGTAAAAATGCAATTTTATCGCAAACAAAAGAGGACCGCCGATAAAAATTCGGCGGGGGTGGTGGAGGGCCTCTACAAGTTGGTCTGTTTTTATAAGATAAAAATTTAATTCAAATCTAAAAGAAAGGCATCATTTCATTTATAACCAGAGAATGCAAAGTTATAATAATATACATATATAGATAACCATGTTTATCGAGAACAATCTACTACAAATTTTGTTGGCAAAAGGAGTACAACGTAGCTTGTCAGCAAATTTTTATATTTTGCATTTATACATATAATTTATATGTCAGCAACAAAAGAATGCGAATCGCCAGTAGTTCATTAACGATAAAAAGAATCGTTAGACGACTGTAGGCTGGCAGATGATTTTTTTCTGGGAGCGAGCAAGAAGGGATAATTTATTTAAATTCGACGTTTCGATCATACGGGTTGTGGTCCTTCTCAAGAAATTCAACAATCTACAAGTTTAAGTACAGGACATTGCAACTCAAAAGTATGTTGACCACAAAACGAAATCAACGCAAGTCAATACAGAGTAAAATTCTTTTCGAAAACTTACAATATTACGTCTTTGATATTGTTGCCATCTCGCTCGCTCTTATACCTTCTTGCTCGCTGCCATTATGAAAAATTAATAACACTCTCGTGTTACTGAAATTTTATGCATGCAGCACGGAACACAACCAAAATTGGGCACTGCATTACCCGCTTGAAAAATGGGCGTAGTACGGATACGCACCAAGTGAAGACTTTATCGACAGTGGTTGAAAATGGGTGTAGCGGAATAGTCCCAAAAATGAAAATGGGCGTAAGGCGCTGAAATCAGCCGAGTAAAACCGGTTTCAAGTAAAACGCCGGCGTGGCCGGTCTCAGATTTTTCTCTGATAGTAGTATAAGTTACCTAGAGACATCTACCATGGTTTTCTTACATTAACGTAACATAGGATTCATAAGGATCAGATAGGTAATTAGATTATAGCAATGAAAATAAATGCAAATATAGATATGTAATAAATTATTATTTTTAGTGCGAGATTTTATATATAAAATTATTGAATAAGTTACTAAAAGTACAAAAACACAAGTATAAATATAATACATATATTACATCTTACTTGAGTTATAAATATATAATACTGCGCGAAATAAAAATCGTTCTTTCTATAAATAATGTCTTTCATAAATAATCTACGAGTGATCACTTGTCACAAAGATACAACAAATACGATTATCGTCGTGACTGATTATCACAAAATGCAACCGAGAATCTTAGAAATTGATACCGGTTACAGGGTACCTCTCAGAAGGTACAATTAATGAAGGTACTATCGATCCGAATAAATAAATAATTAATAAACCAAATAAATAATTTGCTACACGTAAGAATAAATACTATGCGCTATATGTTCAATCGTGAGCCGCGATAATAAATAATTGCTTCAATAAATAATTTTGAGAAATTAGCACGGATCATAAGGCACATTCATAGTCTCCGCAAATTTTGCAATAATCGCCATCCGACCAGCGATTATTGTCAATAGCTTTAACGTTTACCGCGCCGTTATGCAGATACTGACGCGGTTTTATGGTTACAGTCGTGGCAGGTGCTAAATCAATTTATACGTCGGCATATGTTTCCCGCTAGTCTGATGCATCTTCCTTGTGTCGTCTTCTAATGAGAATGATCGATGACCTGCTGACAACAGTCGGGTACTTCTTTTCCTCTTCTCTAATAGTTGAATACGTGCCTCCAAGCATGTAAGTAGTCTCGGTATTTAAGAACTACACCCCAGTCCCTGATGAGCCTCCGCGTCTCATCGACTGGGTTTCGTTCGGTGTGGCTCATGATGCTTCGTTCCACGCGTGTCGGGAGTCGTATGGATGGCAACGAGATAATGTTGCTTTCGACCTCGCATAACATCATTGTTAAGTATGATTGAGTCGCCTTAAGAGCTTTGAGAATTTGGGAATTAGGCTCGTCCTCGATCAGTTGCTCGAACGCCACGGCGAATTTCTGAAGATCCATGTGCAACTTTGGGTAATGGTTAACAATCTGCAAAAAAAATAGTTATTGCAAAATTACTACGTTGTTTTAATATTTAAATATTTGAATGTCGCGCGGGAACCGCTCACTTAAGTTTGCTCATTAATATTCATTTGATTCTTTTCAAGATATTAATAAACTTTGACGTAAAGATAAGCGATTACGAGTAACTTCGCTTCTTTTCTTACGTCAACGAAACTGTTAATGTCAATTGTAAATATTACCCCCTTAGAAATTATTCTATCACACAAATCCACATAAATATTTATGAACGTTTCGTGTAATAATAATTTTAGTACCATTTAAAGAATTAAAATGACAGATATCCAATAAAAGTTTTCGCAGTGTTATAAATATGTAAATTTAGCGACATCCTTTTCTGCACGCAAACAAAACAATAGATCTCATTTTTCCATCAAACAAATTAATAATTTATTGCATTAATCTTATACATGTAAAAAATGTATCGGAACGGATGTTCAAGTATAAATGCACAATTATTTTATCTGGTGGTACAACGAATATAAAAGAGAAAAGTGTGCAAAAGGCGTATTTGAAACACGTAAATGACAGATGTTACGAGTGAAATTAGTCGATGAATAATTTTATGATCGGCGAAACCTAATTTCCGTTGACGTTATCAGCAATCGCAGCTTAATCGCCGCGGAGTGCTCAAGATCTCCGTAAAATCCCACCTTCCGAGAACGCGCAACTAAAACCCCAACAAAGTGCAACGCCGAGGATCAATGTTGCTGCAGTCCGGCGATCGGGGCGTGGCAGAGAGAGGGAAGGGGGCTGCGTGCCCGAATGCCGGCATCCGGGGAGTACCGCGGGTCGCGATATCAGCCTTGCGTTATCAGCGTGCTCGCATCGAGGAGGCAGACGAGCGCGATTACGCAGCCGCGCGACCCGGCGAACATGAGTGCACACGTACGGTCACGTTGCGCGCGCACTGCACGAAAGACCGCGCTCGCTCCTGCTCGCCTGCTACTTTATAATAATTACCGTCTCATTAAAATTTGTTATTTAACGTTGCGTTAATCAATTGCAACCGGGTGGTCAGCCGGCCGGTCGGCCGCTGAAAACGCGACGGTGGCCTGCAACACTGTTCTCTCTTTCCCGCACACTTGTTATCCGTCTCTCCCCTGCACGCGGTAGTATCTCTGGTGAATTGCTCTTTTATTTCTGCTACACGGTAACGGCGGTTACGAACGATGAATATTAACAATCGAGAAGAAACTAACAACTTGAGGTATAACGTTGCGAGCGTTGAAGTGATGGTAAAGGAAAAAGTGGCTGTGTGACGGATAACAGCCGGAGAAACTATTGCAGCTATCGATGTTGCAATGAGATGTAGTAATGTAATGTCACATAGAATTTAGGAGTGAAAGAAAGACAAATCTCGACCGTAAATAAAATCTCATTTAGAAAAGTTTATCTATACAGCAGCTTCCAAAGAGATCTGCGATTCTGTGATTGCAATATCTCTTTACTGAAATAATGATCAATTGGTATTGCAATTGGTGTCACGTGTTGTATGTTAAGAGTTCTTGGCTGGATAAACCGTTCAAGATATTTAATAACGGCAAACTTAGGTCGCGGTTCGAAATATGTATAATACGACATAAACGAGTAATAATGTTAATTGAATGACTGTTAATTGAGTGACCGTACTCACCATTGAAGTATCACTGTCGGCCAGTTTTCTTACAAGATTCACGTCCTTCTTGCCGGGTACCCAGTTAGGTATGTACTGATGATCATCTACGCCGATCCTAACTCTCTCGTACAGGTATTCGTAATCTCGATTCAAGTAGTCGCTCATCGTCAGCTGATGTTGCAGACTAAGATTCTCCAGGCTGGATTTCATTTCGTCCTCGAGGTTTTTCAGAGGGACAGCTTGCAAATTGAGTTCTCCGCATGGTAGATGCCACGATGGTATCGACCCGGATATCCTCGGAGCCGCGAAAGTAACGGCGAAGACGACTGAGATTAGGCAAACTCTCTCGAGGAACATGTTTGAATTTATTGTTGCGGCTTTTCGTGGTTACTGTCCGTAATTCAGTGACGATCTCGTCGAGTCGGCTCGTAGGAAAAATGATAACGATAAGGCACTGAACGATATTCTCGAGCGACGTGAGATCACGAACTGAGATTGTCAAACTCTCGTTCTTCCTCCTTATATATGGGATTGTGTAAACAATCGTACGTACGCACGTATGTTCGACGTCTCGTGCGGAAACGGTGGGGTTGCAGCGAAGATTTTGTCCACGGTTTTTTACTGTATCGCCGGTGGAGCCCCGGGAAATCGCGTAGACAAGCCTCTTTCATTGAAGCGGAAATTTTTTTTTCGAGCTATTTTTGGCCGTAATATCGCTGATATGATTTGATATGATTTGAACCTTACAGTTGCACAGTATTCTTTTAACTTCTTTCAACTAATAACAAAATTATTGCAAAAACAACGGTATACATGTTTAACGTTATACTTCGATATAACAAATTATTTCAGTTTGTATATTGTATTTGGTTTTATAGTTTAGTACTCTATAAACTTGTACATTAATGTATATTCATCATGGATTTCTTGTCATGTAACTATTCAAATTTGTCTAAGTGACGTGTTCACTTAGCAGTAATAATCCCTATTGGCTATGCTTCGCGGATCTCGCCCACATGTATAGATGTTACGATTTTCCTCGAAACACGAACGGTACCTGTCGTCATGCGTTTACGGCGTCTGCATGTGCGGCACATGATGTGCTTCGAAAGTACGCGCAATTCCGTCAGAAATCTCTCGGATACCGCGCGCACTATTCAGACGCAAACACCGTTGTGTTTGCACTATGAATCAAATGGGAAAGCCATGTCGTCAAATGAATCGTTAGAGATCCGCGATCGACATCTCGTCATACTTAAAACAGTTATATTTATTTGTAACAAACCTAATGATTATTATTCAAAAAAGATTCGTCCAGTTATATTTGGAATCGAAAACAATGAGGTTGAAAAATATTTATAACAAGAGGCATGCATCGACTTCTTTCAACGTTTTCATTGCATCTGCTATTTCGAGACACGATATATGATTTTGAAAAATTCAATGCATATACTGCAGTAATACACGTATTTAAAAAATATAGTGCATTTTTCTTATTCAACGACTCGGTCATACGTGCAACCTTTTTGTATAATATAAACGTATTAAGCGTTTTAAAGAATTCATTAAACAATTTTATTTTCATAAATTATTACAACTGTATTTTTTAATGAATATGCCATGACAGTAATTTGTCTGTGGTATAAAAAATAAAATAATTCTTATGCGCTTTTGCCGTGCGCATGCCAACGATATCTAATTCCGATCGTTCTAGTAGACCATAAGGAATTTTGACGTCAGGAGGACAATTCTTTTCCGTCGAAATATGGAGAAGATGGCCACAAAAACTTCTGAATGAAGTAGACGTAACGAACGTACGTCGATGCGTACGTACGTTCGTTGTACCGCATAAGAGACATGCCTTAAAAGGCGATACTATAATTAGGTCCTTCAAGAATTCACCGAACTAAGATTAGAGATCTTCTCACGCCCGATTAAGTTGCGACGCGTTGTGAGTCGTGACGTGTTATTTCGCGGCGTATATCATGAACAAAGGAAAACAAATAACGATTCAAACGCAGAAGCGCATTATACGCATTGGCGCGATTCCACCAAAGTTTGTTGGAATAATTTCGATACTCTCAATAAATAAGGATGATTAATTCAACGGTATTTAAATTTTAATTAAATGTATAATTGTAGCTTTTATATTGTAATATATGTAAAGCTACATTGTTGCCTGCGCGATCGATAAAAAGGGTAATAAGTAAAAGAGAGAGAAAGAGACTAATAAGCGTTATTGTTCTTAATCGCAAAACGACACGATACAAAATACTAGTGAACGATTGAAATTATATTGATAATTATGCTGGAATTATTAGACAAACTATTTAAATTAATTGCTTGCATATTTATTTATAGACAAATAGATTGAATTAAACAGACAGGTACTTTAGTCTTTTACACAACGAACAATTTATTAATGCAATAGCGTCGGGCAGTTGAAGTTACAACAAATAGATTTACCCTTTATAAGCGCAAAGTGCAGTAGATTACAACCTATCCACTCTACGTGTACTCCTATTACAACATTTGATGCGTCTGGGAAATTCTGTTGATAGAAACTGCACTGTGATGTTGGCCTAATAAATTTTACTTATAGAAAAGTATAGTAGCGTAAGTTAAATATAGAATAATTTTAAATTTGCAAATAAAATGCGTACAAATAAAATGCGATTTTTAAGTTTTCAATAATAAAAGTCGCTTACCTAAAGAAGCATTAAATGGGTAAAAAAAATTCGATGGATCAGTGATATTTATCATCATTACAATTATGCTTTTGCTTTGTCTTTAAAATAAAACACGGTTAAATATATCTTAGTTACAAAAAATTAATGTTGCTATGCGTTATTTAACTGCTTATCTAATCAATCGCTTATAATATTACTGCAACAAGTCATGTTTATTGCATTCTAAATGGTGTATTCTTATCTACATTACTTCCGCGTTATATACATTATGGATAATGATCGAGTGCTATGTTGAGTGAAGATCCTTCATGTACTCCTGATATTTCCGGTGGATGTTTACGTAAAACGAATGTTTTACAATATCGTAGAAAGAAAATTGTTATGTGGATCATAAAGGTATCTCTGCCATCCAAACTTCAGTTCGATACAAAACATTGAATTTATTCGAGATGATCACATATAAGTAAAGACATGACAATAAATAGTATATGCAATGGTAACGTGATACAATAAATAGAACAGAACGCTATGCATATACGTCCGAATAAATATTGTATGTGTATCGTATAAAATGGCCTTAGATTTAAGTGCGCGTCTACGAATAATTTGTATCGCATCATGTGCATACATAGTACAAAAATATGCGTACTGCTAAGCTATGAACGTACTTAAGTATTGTTGCAGTATAAAATATCGTATCTGCACGATACAAATACATTTTATTCTAGCATAAAAAGGACGCGTCACATATTATATGCTGACGCATGCATAAAATCAAGATTTGCTCGAACGATTTCCTTTAAAATTCGTAATGGTCCCTTGTTAACGCATTTGAATGCAAGTCTGGAAAACGAGACGGAAGAAATCGTGAAAACTCTTTCGGGCTTCGTTAAAAAGAAAACCGCTTCTGACGTCGTCTATGCACTTACGACGCAGCGATTCGATAGACTAACTCTATAAAAGGTAAAATTGTCATGTGTTCCCACGACAAGGCGAGATTCTTCGGTAAGACACACCGGAAAGGAGAGAATCATCTACGTCTACGTATGGTACGCGTTAACGCACGATACCTATCTATGTAAGTGTATGTGTATGTGCATATGCGCCTATATATAAACGTAGGAACTCTGTACGTCCGCATACGCTCGGGATATCACAGCTAAAAACCTTAAGTTCTCGCCATCCGCTTAAAGCTAGAATAAATAAGTTTCACGAGTTCGCCTTAACTCGTTATCAATCTTTTTCACGTACTATCGACACCTGCGCGTATCGCAGACTCCGTCGATTTAACCGAATAAACTCGAATCCGTGTGATCGTGTAACAAACCGCCTTGATCGTGAGCGTCATCCATGTTGGCGTATCGATATAAATATCGGGCAAGACGGCCGATCTCAGACGTGCAAAGTACGTCTGCGAATTTATTCTCTCTGCATTTCTTTCTCGTTCTTTTTTTTCGTTTGCATTTGCATAACACATTGTTTTCTTTTTTTTTCGTTGTTTTCAGACTGCTGAGAATAAAAACGGGCGTTTTATATTCCTTTTACATACACGATAAGATTATGTTTTCCGGGTGTACTTTAACGGCGACTGTAATCCATTCGACCGGTATTTCGGTCTAATCGATTCAAGTGCGCCGTGTAGTTCGAAATATTTATTATCAACATTATGGGCTATACTCGGTATATTTTATGTATGTTATTAGATATAATACTGTTCTGAAGTAGATCTTTTAATACTGGTCTCTAGTATGCAGCCGCATGTTGACGATAAAATATTTCTATTACTATAATTCACAATAGTATTGAGCCAAAACTATTGAATTAAGTAATTTTCATGGCTTCACGGAGATATCATAATCTCTACAATAGTACGATTCTATTGGCAAATCTGCGAAAAACGAGTAAAACTATTCAAGTGAACATGATAATGGAATAAATATAAAAGTTATGTTAGTATGAGATAGTATACGATTCGACGCTGTATAGAGCGGTGTCTTTAAATTATCAGCAGATCTCGTCGATACTCTAAGCGCTAACTTGTTCAGGTTCGATACGTGATTTATGTTCGTAACGTAGGTCCTTTTTGCTTCTTCATCAGTCTGCTCCTTTGAGATCCCTTTCGCAGGTTTTGGCGCAAGGAATTATTTCGACCAGGCTTCCTCGTCGGTTTACGTTTCCTCATCTTCGGCATCCTCGTACCCCGCTCGTTAAACCACTTCTTAGGCATATTCGGCGTAAAAGCCAAAGACTTGATGTTACGGTCGCAAGTGTTGTCGGTGGTGGCGTTACGGAAAACCTTTATCCAATCTTTCAGAAAAGTGTGATAGAGCTTTAACACGCCCCAATCCTGAATCAGCATTAGAGTTAGATCGCCCTCTTTGGCCCAGTGTAAGTTGTCCGTTATGCTGAACGCATTGTTTACAGCGGAAGTTTGTAACTCCAGATTTATCATGGCAGCTTCGACCTCGCACAGCAACTGCAATCACACAAACGAGAGGTGTTACTTTTACACGTTTGCACTTTCACTTCCAAGAGATTGATATTCCTCGCTGTGTACGGCGAATAAGTTTTATGGCAACTTGACCCGATCGCAAGCCGAAGTAATAAAGTATCTATAGTTTTATATCTCGCGTTTGTCGATTAAGTTGACTTACGAGCAGTTTTAATAGGTATAACGAGATAAATGCAACTTTCAATTGATATCGATGTTGACATAGATCTTGTCAGAAGCGAGCAATGCGCCAGCTTACCCTGAGAACTTGATTGTGCGCTCTTTCGATGATTCTACTCCGCCTCTTAGTAATGCCGCGACTAACGTCGATATCAGAGTCGAGATGAAATTCTTTAAGATAATAGAACGTAATCTGGAACTTCTGAAGTGCGTCGTATAGGCGTGGAAGGGCGCGCTCGGCTTTCTTCCCCCTTTCCAAACACCAAAGTTCCCTGTGGTACCACTCGAGCTGCCTTTTCGGCAACCAATTCATCTTATACTGCTCCTTCACTAACACTCGGTACACCTGTAGCAGAAAGATAAAACAGTATTTAATTTTTCAACCTGCAGTTACACGTTTTAATGCAATTAAAAGTTCTTTTCGCATTTTTCTGAGACCCTACATAGAATTGTACTTTATTGACTATCTCAAATTGTGTCAAACGCATATAATTTATTGGTACTTGGTTGTGCGTATCATTGAGCGTGAAATTTATGGCTACGCAAATCTCACTCAACTAGTGCCGTTATGCCGCATAAATCCAGACGTATATTACAAGTGCCCGTACATTTATGAATTATTTAATGAATTATCTGACGTTACGCGCACACATTTGCGAGCATGAGTAATCTTGTCTGTCTATATCAGTACTACGCGCCGTACAGTATCAAAAACTGCAGTATCACAAATCTGTCTCGGAATGCGGCCATGCGTGTCGCGGTAAGCTTCAAAGTGATAAAAGTCGATAAACAAAATATATCGCTCTATCGAAGCCATTGAGATCCGCGCGGGATAAACTCGATCTTGGGCTCTCTAGTAGACCAAACAATAACATCTATCATCTCGTTACAACGGCGTTATAAACAAGCAATGCCTCCTATGTAAATCCACTCGCTTATCTTCGTCCCGCGAGAACAACGTTTAATAACATTTTGCGATAACAAGATTTTTTAATATCGAGCAGGCAACGCGCTCGTTCTGCAACGCGACGGAAGTGATTTGTCATCGAATCCGTGGAGATGTCTAGAACGCGCCGCGGGACTGTGGAAAAAAGTAATTATGCTAGATGTGCGTGGCACATCGTAACCAATGCAAATTGCCGGCGGAAAATAGGACTGTGCACTAGCGATGCGTTGCATCGCGCGCACGTGCGAGTCCCCCTCGAGCGAGCGCTACCCACGCGGTTTTACCCCGACGCCGCGCTGCAATTAATTATGGAATCGCGGTCGCGAGTGAAGCGCTCTCGTCTCTCACCTTCGAGTAAACTATGCGCACGTCCTTGAAAGTCTTGTTGAAGTGATTTTGCGCGACGCGCAATTGCGTTCGCACCCTCTTCATGATGTTGTTCGAGTCGCTGGAATTATGCATCCTCCGCGAGGCCGCCAGCCGGGTGCCGCAAGGCTGCTGAATCCACCTAGCTTCTACTATGTTACTGGAGTTTGGCACAAATTGTAGGTCGTTTGTGAACGTTCCCGACGCCGAGTTTAGCCACGAAGTCAGGAAGAAGGCAAAACTCGTGAGAGTAATCGTTTGTGCCACTGAGTCTGTAATCGAAAATAGAAACTGTCGTCAGATAAGCATTGGAAGGCACTTAAGCGTAATTGAAAGAAAATTTAAACTTGTGCCACTATTTTGCATTTACCAATTGTTTTTGCAAGAATATTGCATAGTATCGCACTGCTTCATATAAACATAAAGACGTTCAAGTTTCGAAAGATTGCATTTGTAAGTGAATTCTTTATTGTCCACTGATATGATGTTGGCAAACATTTGCAAAGTAGTTGCAACAAGTATCTATATAAACATATATAGAAGTTTAACAAATTTATAAATATATAATTATATATTTAAGATGAAATTTATATTTATCTTCATCAAGTTTAATCGATTATAGATTTAAAGTGAATGACTAGAGATAGATTGCGCGCTATTTTGCGCGTAAGAGTAACAAAAGGGAAAGGGAGAGATGAAGTCCTTCCGACTTTCACACTCGGCGTACCTACACGGATACGTAGGTACCTCCGTTGCACCTACGCACCAATTTAACAGCGACCAATCGTCGCCCCCGCAGTAGGAAATGGGTTGCAAATCGGAGAATCAAGATTTATTGCACAATTAAACGTCATAGCTTACGACTTTCTTTGCGATTCCACGCTGCGAGCTTATCCAGGGATAGACTTTTCGAAATTTTTTCGCGTATAATTTTTGCAACTTTCAATAGTGAAACACATATAATAATAATAATAAACTCTTTGTAAATTTTAAGAAGAACTCTGTTAGAAGTAAAAGGGCGGGAGAAAAAAAATAATTTTTAATTAGTCACCAGCCCAAGAGAAAGAATACAATGTTTTATCTTCCTACGTGCACTGTTAAGATTTGAATGGCGACGGTATCACATAATACTTAGCACCACGTAGCAAACACATCGTATCGAATCAATTCTTGATCAATACCATTCAGCGCCCGTGAAGACTAGCATGGATGTACTGGTAGTGCCGTAAAGACCGACAAAGACTTCATGGACCACTACGTGGGCAATTAACGCGCGTTGATAGTTCGTGCGTGCCGTACAGAAAACCACGTGTAAATTCATTCGAAGCGACGGTGCGAGCGCTCTCAGGTGCGAGCCGTAATGGCAATTCGATACGATAGTTCGTACAATTCGCACGTCGGTCACGCGTGGACTTACGTGCGTGGCACGGTCATCGCGCGGCGAAAGCGCACACGCGCTACGTGATCCCGCGTGTACCACGTGCCCATTCGCAACATTAATATCCGGCGCTTTAATGATAATTCAAGATGTCACACAGCTCGTCGCGTTCTCTAACGTTGTCAGTTATTCAAAGCTGAAAGATGATGAGAATGTCAGATCGACATTTTGCGCTAGATTTGATCAACAAGTGGTCTCGATGATTTCTCCTCGATACAATTTCGGTATTAAAAGGATCTCGGTATTTATAACAATTAGATACAACTGCAAGTGCTTCTTGCATCAAGTAGATAATTACCGATTAATTTACTTTGTTGACTCGAGAATTCGGTTATCGGCAATTTCTCTACACAGGGCGGTATCTAGCGAATCGGCGGGCGACGTAACGATAAGTCCCAAATCGATTAGCCCGTTAGCGCGAAACACCGGAGGAAGCGAGTTGCGTGGCCGTGTGTATCTTATCGTAAACTCACGCCTCCTCTTCTTCTCCCGGAGTTGCCCCAAGCCAGCGGTTTCAGGCATCCTGTACCGTCGGTTATACATGTCGCGTGGGTGTATGGTAAAGGTGCACCCAATATTATATGCACTCAAACGACCATCGCCCCCAACTATATCAATTTACGTCCTTACCTACCAGTTACCGATTTCCTGCGCGTATTATCTCGTATCTAAGGGTGGACAGCGACAAAGTACACTTTACGCCAAGATATACGTTTTTGACAGGCTACGATTTAATTTCGCCGTAGCGCAATACGTCGGCAGGATAAACACGTGGCTGGAAAATTGATGCGAAGTAATTAGAAATAGTAAAATAGGATTGAACAATTTTTGCGCGTTTATACGAGTCTCTCTTATGAAACAAGAGTTTTGACAAACGTCGAAATAAGCAGAAAAAAATCAATAACAGACTATAATTGATTAATAACTAATAAGAACGAAATAAAGTTCTGTCGAGAGTACGACGAGAGTACGTTTTTTTCGTGGCATAATATCCCTGTAATCGCGGCCTACCACCTATGGGTTGCTAAATCGCACGCAATAACTACGTTATTCCTATAGGGTTTCGCCACGTGCAATTATTCGAGCAGGTGCCTCATTTCGTCCTTACGGTGCACTCTCATTACACGCGATAATGTCGATTGAAAAGGCATTTCAGAACGAAACGTCCATCATTCATGCGGGGAATTATCCCAAAATATACTTCTTTTCAACCATATTCGCATTCCGGGCAGTGTCGTGTCGACGCGGTAGTTGCCTCCGCGGGTTTAATGCATGCCTACCTCGTCTCTCGATAGGCACTGCCGAGGTGGAATCGCGGCTATTCTCGCGATGGATTCCCCGGATGCCAGTAGTCGGACGATCGGTCGGCCCTCCGGTGATTTGGCGAAAAGGGGCGGGGAACGGGGCGCGGGGAGGGCAGTGCCTCTTTTTTCCGCGGCACAGGACGAAGATTGTTGGTTTTGCAGCACCGGTACCGCGGTGGTGAATGCCCCAGGGCGGCAAAAGGCGGTTGCTGCTTTCTGGGAACGGGTCGGAGTCCCGGCCGCACCGGGAGCGGTGATTGCGTGGTGATTAGCCTCCACCTTCGCCTCTTTGGACCGACGAGTGGAAGACGGAAAGGAGAGAAGGAGCGAGAGCGCAGGCGAAGGAGCATACCGCACGGGCGGAAAGGGAGACGCGAGTGGTACCGGGGAGAAAGAGCGCAATATCATCGCCGTGCGGGCGAGTGTGGGAGCGAGGTGCCCGATACGAGCCCATTCGGGCTCTCTGCCTTCGCGGATCTCGTATCGGAGAGCGAGAGCGCCGACGTGCGTTCAAAAGTGCACGCACGCATAGAGATAAGTACGTAGCGAGGAAAGGGTAGATAATAGAAGATCGCGATTCGCGTGTCGTTGCATACCCCCCTACACAAGTGTATTATTTTCAGGGACTCTACCGAAGTAGAGTGCCCGAAGGTAGTACTAGTCAACGAGGTGATTCTTATCGGTTGCGAAACACTAAAGTAAATATCGTACACGAAAGTGCTCCGAGATACGCTTTACGCTTAATATTGCCTGTATTATTTTCATTTGCAAATTACGTAGAAAATTTGACTGCGTTTATCCCTCCTTCTATGCGTGAATGGACAAAAACTTATCCCGCGAATGATCATTGGCCGATATGCAATGATGCGTCTTGGACATCCAGCGATTAAGTGACACGCGACTGTCGGATATACGTTTTATTATGAAAAACGCGCGCCTTTCATTATCGCAACGTCATTCATAGAGGTATGTGGGACGCGTCTCTTTCTACACCTCCTCGAGTAGCATACGTATGTACGCGCTAACAATCACGTACGCGTAAGTCATGTTTATACCCCGAGGAAACGCTGCTCTAATCGGCACCTACAGTGAGAGTATCGCACCACGGGTGAACGCACGGTGAGCACCATAGGAAAGATAGATTATGCGTAGCTCGCAACATTTGATACGGTATGCGCATAAGGGATCGTCGGGAGCAGTCTGCAGAGGCGTCGGGTTTCCTTCTCGCTCGAGTTCTGAATCGAGCGGTGATTAAAAAGTCAAGGCGAAATAAGAACCGACCCGAGAAAGAGAGCGCCGGGATTGTAATTTGATTGAGTTTACGCGCACAATATTGGCAAGAGCCAATTATGATAGCTAAAGGCACGGCGAACGCTGCCATATGAACGTAATTAACATCGAGATTGTCGCTTATATCGTTCTCGTTTGTAATTATTAACGAGTCTTCCTCAAATGAACGATTAGATCACGCGTGACACATTGGCGCGTTATCTCGACCTTTAATCTCCACTTAGACCGGTTTTTCTGCCAAGTCTCCAACCGTGTGCGGTCGCCGCAGCTTCCCGCATATTCAGCTTTCGCTGAATATGAATCAGGCAGGGTGCGTCAGTTCGACGATCGGCCTGCCAGACTCACAAGACCCCGACTTCCTTCCTGCGGCCGGCCTGCGAGTCCCGGACTCCGCGGACGACTTTGATTTACGAGGTACGCGGGAAAACTCGAGGCTACCCGCGTGTCGGGTGCTCACGGGCCCGCAGTCTCCGCCAATGGGTCCCGACCTCACGGATGCACCAGACAGATTAGCGGGGCGCGCGCAGATTTGCATTTTGTCTGGTCGGACTACTAGGCGCATTGGATAGTCCTCGTCGGGGAGAGAGGGCGACCCCACCCATAAAATACCGCTGAAGGGTTTTAAGTTGCCAGAGTTGCGCGTTAACATCTATCCTTTACCTCCTCTCGCCAATTCCGCCTTCGCGTGCTCCTTTTGTTCTCTTCCTCGGCATTTAGCCCCGTCCTCCTTTCTCTCCCCCCCGGGTCCCCTTTGGTCTACCTGCCGCGTCGCCGACGCATCGAATTATCAAAGGTGTCTCTACGCTGACGCGTCGTAAAGTGTCTGTAATACGCGAGCGAGGCGCCTTACGGTGTTACGACGATATGGATCACTGATGTCATACTGACGTCACCCGTCGTTTATATCCAGAGGTGACAGCTTACCGTTGGCATCGGTGCAAGAATCGATCTGAAATGACGTTCCGCCACCGCAACACGGGAAAGAAGACGAAGGGGGAGCGCGGCGTGCAGGAATGCACGCGGTCAGTTACTACGGCATTCAATGTCATCGTCGATTACGTTATCTCGATTCTTCGGCCGGCGATAGGCCGCACACGCGTGTGCACACGTGCGTAAGAAAGCGCCCGTAGAGGCCGATTGTGTATACGTTAATCGCCGTGGTATCGCTTGATGGTAGCGCGACGCGATGGTGTCTCCGTTTCTCTTTCCCTCGCTCTCTGCCCTCCGTCCCCCCCCTCTC